TGTGTGTGTGTGTGTGTGTGTGTGTGTGTGTGTGTGTGTGTGTGTGTTTAAGTTTAAAGAAAGCGAAGCACTTGTACTGTGAATTGAATAATATGAATAGGTGGGGTGAGAGAGTGTGAGGTGACCCAACCCACACCTCTCCCTCTCGAGGCTGTCTCGATTCAACCCGTTTCTTTTCTCAACATTTGTTTGGAGAAGAGTCAGCTTCAAAGGGCGTGTGTGTGTGTGTGTGTGTGTGTGTGTGTGTGTGTGTGTGTGTGTGTGTGTGTGTGTTGTCGGTGAGGGAGACACTTTATTCTGGCGATCCTCTCAAACCTTCTAAAAGCTCTTGACTCCTGGGCGAGGGGCTGCGTTGACGTCTGAACAAACGGGCCCTTTCTGTGGCAACACACACACAGACGCACACACACAGATGCACACACACACACTAGTCTGCATGTAGTTGCTGAACTGGGTCAGCTGAGCTCACGCGTGGAGAGCTAGGTACCCCCACACAAACATACAAAAACAAACACCAGAGATTCTCCCCTTGGCCTGGAAAAACACTAGCAGTTTGACAACCACCATTGCTGCTGCCGGCAATATGGACACACACACACACACACACACACACACACACACTCGGGAGTCCCACATCCAAATTGTTTCTAACATGCAAATCAACTGTGACATTCCATGCTAAGCAATCTCTCCTCACACACTCTTTCACCCATGATACTGTGTCTGCAGCTTGCCACTCCCCACACACGCACACACACACACAACCTCAATGGTGTCACTAACCATTTGAGATGCTCGAAAGTGTTAATAAGTCCCTTAAGTCCTCATGGAAGCTATGCGTGGATCCTACCCCACCCACAAAGTCTCTCTCTGAACACACACACACACACTGACTCAGCTGGTCTGACTCACATGATCTTACACATGCGTCAGTTACGATTTTCATTGTTTGTTTGTGAGTGCAGCTTTTAGAACGCCGTCAACCTAAATGCAACAGTTCAGCCCAGAATTAAAAATAGGTATTTTTCCTCTTAGCTATGGTGCTATTTATCAATCTAGATTCCTTTTTGATCAATTAATGAAATTAATAGTTTATAGGCATTATGGGAAATATGCTTATCCGCTTTCTTGACGACGATAAGAAGATACCACCCTACTGCCAGCAGCTACTTAGCTTAGCCTTAAAACTGGAAGAGGAGGGAAACTTCTAGCCTGACTTGGTTCAAAAGTTTAAAAAAAACTATATCAGCCTACCAGCACCTCTAAAAAATATTCAATCAGTTAATTTGAATTTGTCAATAAATTTTTCTGTGGACTGAAAAAAAGAACACCAACTAGCACGCGAACTAGTTTGGCTTTACACAATCAGTTTTCCATTGGTTTTACAGGCTGTGATGTGTTTTGGGTGTCACCCATCATGTGTTGGTTAACAGCCTGTATGAAGTGTAACGTTGTAACAGATCGAAGGAGCAAACTGAAGTCAGTAGCCGAGGGAGCGCCAACACCGGCGCTGTTTGACTTTGTCCACTTGTTGACGAGAGCATCGGATAAGAGTCGACAAACAGGAGATTTTATCAGGAGGAAAACAAGAATGGCGAGTGCAGCACAGTTCAGATGAGGAACGGTCTGAAGGTGCTTCGATGTTGTCTCCATATCGTGTCCTTTCTCTTGACTTTTCATAGATAGAGCCCAAGCAACTCACTCTGATTGGGTAAAGTTGTGGTGTAAAGGTCTCCTGTCAGGTTTTAGATAAAGATTTAGCTTTGAGCAAGAACAACACCACCTTCTGTCTGTGTCAGCGAGGTCCTCGAAGATCACGTTTGTTCATTGGAGGACTAAGTTATCTTTTGTCTTAGTTTAGGTTCGGAGAGGTGTCAACCTGAGGTAAAAGGTCAATATTTGAAACACTAATGGTTGGGCCAGGGGTCGAGGAAGTGAACTTGACCTTTCAACTTTTCAACCCTCGTAGTTAACAACACTCGTGGTGGTCTCGATGTGAGAGGGAAGCCCCTGTACTTTAAACAGCCGGTAATGACGATAAGATGATGTTTGTTGACTGTGTTAAAGGTTAATCGCACCTTGCCTCCAATAAACTACGCTGTCGGAGTGCATTGTTTTGTTATGGTGGAAAATGCATGACTCCGGCAAGCCTGACTGAGCTTAATCCAGTCCAGGCAGACAAGTCCGGACTTGTTTTGTCTATTAAAACCATGGTCTGTCAAGATCTCACAAGCCATGAAATACTATTGAAACAATTGCTGTTGCTGCCAATCTGGCTTACCTGGATTCTGGAAATCCTAATATTATTATTATTTAATAGTGTTACTATTATTACTTTTATGAAACATTAAATAGCAGTGGGTGGTTGGCATATTTGGGGATTTGCTTCTGGAAATATGCCCTAACTGTTTGTGTTTTATACTGCACATCATTTCAAATAGTTTTTGTGTGTTATGGCTTGATAGCTAAAGGAACTTTGGCCCAGTCGTAACTGTCTTGTGGAGGGTTGTTTGGTTCAGCTGGAGCTGGCATGAAAGGAGAAGAAGTAGGCCATTCTGACAGACCGAGACACACACAAATAACTCTCTCACTGGGTTCTTACAGAAACATCCAACCCACTCAATCTATTCAGTCACCTGTCGGCTGTCTGCAAAACACATGCCCCTCAGTCGCTATTGTCATCATTTCTTTTTCTGTCGGTGTATTGTTGGTAACTGAGAGATCTCTGGTAGTAGTTAGTGCAGCTTTGGGGCGCCCTACTGCCGCAGAGGTGTTTTATTTATACTTTTTTCCATCAGCGCTAACGTTTCCACACCTTGCTGTTGGCACACCCGCTCTCCTCTCATATCTTCTGCCGGGGCTTTCTCCTAGAGGTGTTATTGGGGGGCTTATAATAATGCGTGCTGTAATGTGGAACGAAGAGCTTCAGGTGGGACGCAGCTGGTGGTCATCAGCCACTTAGAGTCTAGGGGAAAATTTTAGGAACAAGAGGCGCAGCACTCATGTAGCCCTCAGGAGCTTCTGATATGATGGATGTGGTTGTTGGTCAGTACCAGCAACCATCTTTCTAAAAATTGAAGATGGTCCGACTGACAAGAAAGCAGTAATGTTATTATGTTTTAGCCTTCTTCTTCACTGTCTGTCGAATCTCAACATCCTCAGCTGTTGATAGCCGTTTATGATAGATATATGTTTTTTTATTTTTACAGCCCTTGAAGTTATGCAGCTGATGTTGCATCTGACCTCATTTGGCTTATTCTGACTGGTTCGCTTAAACCTCTCAGAGGCCTCATGCTCCCCCACAATGACAAAGTTAGAGTGTCCCCATCGGGGAAGCCACTGGCTATGTCCAGCTAATCCATCCCCTACTCTTCATCCCATTTCTGCCAAAGCGTTCACGGCGAGCTCCCTGTCCGGTCTGCACAGATTGACAGGCCACGTACAGAAGCGGTGTGCTTCCTGAGCGGCCGCGCCGCCATGCGACCATCACGGGCAGCTTGAGAATAGCTCAGGTTCTCCAGGGCCCCTAAAGGCCCTGCCACTCAACCCCTGGGGGAAGCAGATGGCACATGCCCAGAGCTATTTTCAGGCTTTAGGAGAACAACTGTCCCCCTCTGTCACCCAAAATGACTAATGCTGACCGAAAGGCAAGCTCAGACCACGGTGTTTGTGGTGGCTTTTGCCCTCCTATAAGCATAGTCACGGCTTTGATTGTGAACTTGTTCAATGGAGAGTACTAGTAATGGAGTAGTTTTTGGATCTTGTTTTTTTTGCGCAACCTAAAGCTACTAGGTCGAGGGGCAATGTCTACTCTAGAGCTATCAGGGGTTCTGTCAAGGACATTTAAGATGGCCAGACATTTGTCCTGAAACGCTGTAATTCGGTCGGAGGACTAACAAACAATCCACCCACACATTTACCAATACACCTGATAAGAGAGTTAAAAACACCTCAGTGAGGGGACACAACGCTGGATCTGGTTTCCTCGCATCGGAAAGTCGGAAAGAGTAAAGATACTGTGAGACGAGTCCGTGTCACACACATCCACGTGTTCAAACAAATGCTTGTATGCGAATGTATGGGCTTGTTGCACTCCATTTGCCCTCGAGTCCTACCGTTGCCTGGATTCTGACTGGCTGAGAGGAGTGTGGAAATCCACATCTGTGGCCCTGCAGGGTGGCCTCCCCCCTCGTCCTCCCCCTACCCTGCCTCTCTGTTTTTTTCGATCAGGTGTCACTGCTAGTTCCACTCTTGTTTGCGTGTCAGGAAGATACCCCCCCCCTTCCTTTGCCGTCCCCCACGATCTTTCTTCTGCGGCCAAATTTGGAAACATTTGACATGTCGTGTCAAATGTTTTTGTGCCACACTAGCTTGCAACATGCAGCCGGGCCGGCCTCTCAAAGTCCACGTTACGTATGGAGAAGCATGCACTAAGCAAGATCTCGGTTGCAGTTGTCCCCCTCGACCTTAAGCCCCACCCCCACCCCGGTGTCAACGTCGCCGGGCCCATGAGGGCTGTGTATTTGCCAAACATCGATGCGTATCCGAGTGACTGTGTTGGTTCACCTTGAATCTCCTTTATGACTCTAGGTAGGCGGCTTGCCTGGCTACGTCTTGAGTAAAAAGCTGGTGTAGGCGGATTTTGACAGAGGGCCCTAATCTGAAGTGGTTAGGGATCAAGGGTGTGCCTCTGCGGCTGCCACTGCAAATGATGTTGACAGTGAGACTGCAGTGTGTTTTGTCCTAAACCAGGTAGGCTATTTCTGCCTCGGCTCAAGTGCTCGCTTTTTCTTGTTGGCGCCTGTGCAAATAGGACGACGGCGACAGAGACAACCAGGAAGACCTCCGTTTAGTCGTCCCACACCGTACCCTCTCCCCGCAAAAGCCCTGACAGATGGCCCTTGTAGCACGCACACATTGCCACTGCAGCAGAATGCTCGCTCTGTTGAATTCCTAGCTGTGTGTGTGTGTGTGTGTGTGTGTGTGTGTGTGTGTGAGAAATATGCGACAACAAAGGAATGCATGTTTCCACCTTTTTTCCAACTTTTTTTTTTGCTGCTGTCTGTGGTCGTCCTTTGTGCCATTGTATCACATTGAGTACATTTGGTGTTTATTCATTTCATGTTCAACATTTCATCATGGCTGCCGACGGTAGAATGGAAATATAATGTCTATCAACAGGGCGGCTTTTATCGGCGATTTCCATGTTTTCCCTCTTTTGTAAAATAATAAATTTTCTTTTTTTTCTTTCTTCGACAGGACGCATGGGCCTGAACTTTCATCATCCCGGAGCGGAGCACATAATGCCATTGAACAGTAAGTCACATTTTATTGTCGTGGCCATCATCTTATTCTCCGTCTGGAATTCGTCAATTGTCTCAGTTTTACTGATAAAAGTGCTGCAGCTGCTTTTTATCCTTTTTTAAGGGTTAAAAGGGAGACACTCCAGGTAAATAGGGTGAAATATTGTGACTACTTGCATCGAGGCAAAAAAATGTGTATTACACATATGCAAATTAGGCAATTGTGTTAATTTGCTTACACATCTAGAACAGAAATTAGAATATTGGATAAAGCAGTTTCATTTTGTTGACATATGCGAGTCAAAGGTTTTTACAGGGGGGATTTTGGATATCAGGAGTAACATTTTCTAGAAATCAGGCTATGAATGATGCAAAACCCTTTCTGTAAAACCCTTTCTGTAAAACCCTTCAGAATATAGATTAAGATTAGATTAAGTGGTGAAATAAAAACCCAATTGTGTATTCTGGATGTTTTCCCTAGCCTGAAGCAAAAATCTCAAAATTTACCACTGCATAAAAACCAATGTTTTTTCCTTGGGTGTCTCACCTTAAGAACGGGAAGTATTGTTGTTTTCATTTAACCCATATACCCCCTAAACCACAGTGGCCCATGTTTCTACCCCCTTTGCTAATGTCTGGATTCCCTGACACCATAAACCTAGGACAGACTCCTAAGCACTGGGGCGAAGCCCAGATGACCTGTGAATAGCGTGTCCAAAAATACCCCAGCATGTAAAACTAGATCCCCCCCCCCCCTGGTGTCCCACCAGCCGGCAGATGACCAACGGTGACGGGAGACGAGCCAGAGACAGAAATCAGGTCTTTAATCCCACATGCGGCTACATGGATGCCCCAAGGTTTCTTCAGCCCAGGCGCTGCCATTCCGAGTGCTCTTTATTTGTTGAATATGAATATATGAATATCAGGGATGATTTGTTAGTGCCCCGGAGGCCCATGTTTTTTTTTTGGCCATGCCCTTCAGTTCTTTTAGAGGCAGTAATGTTTCTCATCTTTTGGTTCAAAGCTCAGAAAAATACAGTCGTCTGGACTGACTGGTGATCAGACCAAATCAGCGAAGCCCTAGTTTCGTCTCTGGACGTGTTCAGTTGGGTATAAAAACTGGTAATTCAGAGGACATGTAGCATACGAATTTCCTCGGTGAATCGGTTTCTACCGTCACATCTTCACAATCCCTTCCTCATTTTGCTCCTTTCATCGCGCGTATCCTCGGAGAACGTGTCCCGGATTGACGTTCAACTGTCGTGTCATGGGATTACACTCAGATCTTCCGAGTCAGTCAGAAGCGGCTCTCTCCGCCGTGGCCTGTGATGGGTGTAGACGGGGAAGCTTTGGTTTAAAACTTGAAAGTGTTTCTCCTTCATTTCGTCCCATTAGCTTCGAGGCGCTCACGCTGTGAGAACCTGTAAGGGCCTCCGCTTTCTCCGGATGGTTTTAGCACTTGAAGTGACGAAGAAAGGGTTTTAATAAAAGGAGTTGGTGAGTGCAGGTCCTCTAGTCAGATTTATTGGTGTTGTTCACTCGACAGCTTAGTGGAAGAGTCTTCGGCTTTGAAGCCGAGCGGAGTGGGGAGACCTCAAACTCATCGTGCCCAAAGGAACCACTTTCAAACGCGCAGTTTTCCCTTTCCTCCTCTCCCTCGTGGGTTGAGTTCTCTCTCACTGAGGCTTCTGACGGCTTCCCACGTAACGTTTTCTTCATTTTGCCCTGGTTGCTAGGTGACTTTGTTTCTGAAGGAGAGGCTGCCCAGGGTTTGGATTGGAGAAACAGATCTTTTTAATGAAAACATAGCAAGGGAGAAGAAGAGGCTCAGAGACAATATATTCCCCGAGAGAAGCCAGAGGGGCAAGTCACACAATGGGGCTCTCACAATGCAAAGGCCTATATTGGTTTTTTGAGGCGATGAGTCTGCTTCGTGACTGATGTGTTTAGAGGAGCAGGAGGATCTGTTTTGTAACGCTGGTACCCTCTCCTGCTGTTTGCTTGAATTTGCCCCGTCTTAAGTCACATCTTGCCTCCCGGGTGGCAATTTGGGCATGGCAGATTCACAATTGAGCTTGAGGTGGGACGATTTTCAGAGATCAGAGACAAACACTCAAATGCAATCCTGAAACGAGATGTGGTATTTTTGCACATAAAACTTTCAGCTACACTGTGGTATAACTCCAGCTTTTGAATGCTTCTTTCTCAGTGGGTGGAGTTTGCTGAGGCCTACGTATGGAAATGTTGCCACGGGATGACAGGTGGTAGTTTATGGGGAGAAAACAGTAAAATGCAATTGGGTAAATAAAATCTACTAAGCTCAAGTTGATGAACTGGTGGTATTAATACTGAGCTTTCAATTGAATAGTATATCTTTCTCATTGGATGCCGTTTTCATGGTTGCAATGGAAATAGCTCAGTCGTCATCACAAAACCTAAATAGTGAAAATATAGTCATGTGATATCAGGTGGTTGCATAAGGTGGGAAGACTGAGATGCGCAGAAAGCGAGAAAAAAAAAAGGGAAACAATGTAGCTCCTTTTGACAAAAATAATCTGAACTCGAGGTCCATTTACAGACCCTTTGACAGCATCTCATAGTCTTCCTCAGCGGATGGAGATTGCTCAGTATTCATGGACCTCAGGTCACGTGATAACAGTTGGTTTTGCATGGAGAGGACCATGAAATTTTGTCTAAGACAAAAGATAAGGGGGAGATTTTGACAGCTCTCACGTGTGACCAGCTGATTCGATATAAGCGGTCACTACACTGTCCCGTCCCCTCCTATCGGCACGCTATCCTCCCTCCTCAGAGCCCTGAGGCTGCCACCCTTTCCTCTACTGTGGGAAGTTTCCACTCGCACCTGGCCTGCCGTACCTGACCTGAGAGCAGCGTTTTAATATTCCACCGAGGTCCATGATAATGACTAACCTACACCACCCTCGGTCCTGCCTGCACTCTGCTCCATGGCCTCATTTTGTGGATATACACAGAAGATAATCATGAGCGCCAGCTATTTGTGGGCTCATTAAACCGAGATTATGATCTCGGCCCACGGGGCGTCGCGTTATGCTCCTAAATATCTGAGCCATTTCCGTGGCTAAGCCTCGCCTATCGCACCACACTCCCCCAGCATCTGCACAAGTCTGTTTGCCAAAGCAGGTGCAGCAGGTTTACTGCGGGCTGCCATGATAATCGCCCTCCTCCCGTTGTTGAAGCTCAGGCGGGGCCATCTGTGGTTTCTCCGTTGCCTTAGAGATGTTCCTGGCTTTTGGTTTATTTCCACGAAACCCATGTCTCTGTATCTCTTTCCTCCCCTTGTTCCTGCCCTGACCCTCTCCGTCTCTCTCCTTGTGTTTCTCCTTCCCCCACTGTGCTGACAAGCAGCCCGGAGCTATGGCCGCAGAAGAGGTAACGTGTGGCACTTCTCTGGGGTTCTGCTTGCCATGCCGGCCACTTCTCTCTCGCTCTCTCTCTCCGAGGCTGGGGGGGCGGGGGGCGGGGGTCACTATCTGCTATCATCTGTGCTGTGATTGAATGAAATCATATTAATTTCGACACGCAGTTTTTCCATGTTGTGCGTTTGAATCAACATGGGGCAAGGGTCACCCAAATCTGTCTATGTGAATCTTGGATGGTGAGAGGAGAAAAAATAAGGATAATCTGGTTGCCAATTTTCTTTTATCTCTATTCTGAGTCAGTCCTGTAACGTTTCTAATGTGTGGTTCTAAAAAACACAATCAACACATCCGACCTGATTCGGCCCAAGAGGGATCTCATCTCTCCAGCGTCAGTGACGCAGCCACCAAATCAAACACTGAACCTTTTCAAATACTGTCGCATGTTTAGCTCGAGTGCTGCCAAAATGAATCTGGAGGGGTTTCATGAGGATGACTCAGAAGGGATTCATCATCTGAATGGCAGAGACGGGTGCTTCCGACATGGCTCTTCTCTGATTTGATGTGCTTTTTTTTGGTGGGGGTCTAATTCTGTCTTTCCTCAGCAAGGAGGAAAAGCTGCTGTGTGACGTTTGTAAGGTCGCTGGGCTGCGGTTATACTGCGTAAAGATGTAATAACCTTCCACATTTATCAACCCTGCTAAAGAAAGAGAGACACAGGTGGTTCCACTGCACATTACATTTGGACTCTGCACCACTGGAAGCCTCCCAGTGGGGGACCTATTTTGTTCAGACTTCCACAGGCGTAATGTGCCCGAGAAGGAGAGAATATCTTAAAATGTCAAAAGTCCCTCCATTTTTAATATGTGCTGCAGTTCAGCATGTTGAGGACTGGTATTGTGATTAGGAGCGGGAGCCACCGTAATTAGATCTACAGCATGGGCAAAAGTACGCAGACACCGAGATATTACACACATACATACGATCGTTAAACGTCTTCTCGACTTTGGAATCTGGGAATCTTACATTATACATTCATGGGTGTCCACATACTTTTGGCCACATGGTGGTTTCTTTTTTTTACGGGACCCTCTTTTAAAATAATAACAGAATTACAATTTGGGGAAAATAAAAGATTTTCAATTGGCATCGTAGTTTTGTACCAAATTCAAAGTGTGATCACGGAAACACACGATCGTCGCAGGGTAATCTCAAACTGATTCTGCTACATTAATGGTTTCCAGATGTGATTAATTCATTAACTCATCTCTCACACCCTCCCTTCCCCCCCTTTTTTTTGTCTCCCTGGTGTCCTTCTCTTCCCAGGTCGTTCCTGTCTCTTCCCCTTTGAAGACGGTTTCCTCGACGACGGTCACGGTGACCCATCCTTGACCCCGGGCCTGAACTCGCCCACCCGCTGTCAGAACGGAGAGAGGATGGAGCGCTACTCCAGGAAGGTCTTTGTCGGAGGCCTCCCCCCTGACATAGACGAAGGTAAACAAAGGATCCTTTATCATCTACTGAACTTCAGGCTCTTTTTCAGCACCTCCCTGCTGCAGGTATTACGATACATAATGTATCATACATTCACTGGAAGCCTTCCAGTGCAGACTTTGCCTTCGGCTGTTTGCCGCTAACGGTTACACTGAAGTATTTGAGGCCTGCTTAAGGGCACCTTGACAGTCCTTGTTGATGATATTCATTTAACACACTATTAAGCCACAATAAACATCTGTTTTGAAGCCTGGGTTTGCCGCACAGTTTCAAGTTCTTACACCAATGACCCCTAACCAAAGAACACATTTTTCAGAGGTTATCATCATAGTTAAAGGAATAGTTCAGGAAAGATTTTAGGAATGTCGCGTATTCACTATGTTGCCGAGAGTTAAATGAGAAGATTGATACCACTCTCGCATGTGTGCATCAAATATGATGCTGCCGCCAGCCGCCGGTTAGCTTAGCTTAGCACAAAGATTAGAAATGGGGGGGTCTGCCCCAAAGAAATGGTCTGGCACAGAACCCCCCTGTAAGATGACAACACGTCATTTCTGCCCTGCACTTGTATGGATTAAACAAACATTTTGTTACATTTGGAGAGAGGTTAGCTGTTTCCCCCTTGTTTCCAGTCTTTGTGCTAAGCTAAGCTAAGCTAACCAGCTGCAGGCAGGAAACTCCCATTTACTGTACAGACGTGAGTGGTATTGATCTTCTCGTCTATAGCTCCAGCAAGTAAGCGAATAAGTGTATTTCCTAAGATTTTGTGGAACCTTGACGGTCCTTGTTGCCTCCATTATATCACTGGGTTTGCTGTAAAATTTTAAACTTAAACACCAGTGAGTCCAAACCAAAACCCAGACTTTTGGGTTTGTCAAAGTGAAAATGTCATGTGTTGTCCAGACCAGAGCCAAATCACAGTAACTTCTGCTTTTATACTCCTCAGAGAAATGTCCATATAGCTTTAAGTTTTTTGCTCTGTTTTTTTAACCCTCACAATCTGTATATTTTCAAACCGTTTGACTTGCTTTTGGTGTTACGTCTGTGACCAGTTACGTCGTGGACCTGTAAGAGTTTACCGTTAATATGAAGCGTTTACTTCCACGTGTGTCTACGCCCGTTGCACAAGCACATGATGCACAATACATGCGCTTGGCTGGCTGAAATATTCATGAGTTTCCACAGCACAAGTCAGCCCAGTGCGGACTGGATGTGCACCGGCCTGCGTTCCTGTTTAATGCAGTGGCTACCACTGCAGCAGGAAGGAACACGGCAAAAAATAGAAACCCGTGGCTCTCTCAGCGCTTAGTGTGTGGCTCTGTGTGGAGTCCGGCACATGCATATTACATGATGGCATCTTATCATTTCATGAAAGTAACATTCAAGTCATTTTATTTTCTTCAATTTCACAGATGAAATCACCAACAGTTTCCGTCGCTATGGGCACCTGGTGGTCGACTGGCCCCACAAAGCGGAGAGCAAATCCTACTTCCCACCTAAAGGTAACAACAGTTTCTCAGAGCATAATCTGTATTATTTTCCCATCTGACATCAAAGTCTACACCAATAAATATCACCTCGGGTGCGTCGCCATTTTGGAGATTTGTAAAGAGTCACGTTACACAGAATTTCGTGGCTCCTGCTGGGCGAGCATGGAGGTGTCTGTTTATCTGAGCGACCCCATGCAGTCATCTCCCAGAAACACACACGCAGTATAGGATGACTCCATAACCGGCCACCGAGACCCGAGAACTGTTTGCTTGAATGAGTACCTGAGGAGCGTGATAGTTTTCCTCCGTTCTGCGCAGCCTCTCGGGTGTCGTGTTTTTCCCGGCAGGTGATCGGCGCAGCACCACCCTCTTCCAAGCCTCCACATCACTCCTTCTGGCCCGGGAGCTGCTGTGTGTCATATTAGGAAATCTATTAAAGACGCTCTGGAAATATCTGACATTCCATAGGCAGATGGTAATACGCTGCATCTGAAGGACCTGTGGAAATCTCTGACAGTTTCTCCCCCATGCTCATTTTTCAACATCCCTTTTTTTTTTTTTTTTTTTTTTTTTTTTTTTTAGCTTGGGAGGATTATTTTGAATAGGCTTGTCTCTACTAATATCCAAAGCCAGGAGGAAAAATGCAGCATCCTTTTAGGGGAATGAATGAGACGCCGCCGTGTAAGGGGCGGAGACACGCGGGACTAGTGATCCGTGTAGAATTCATCTCGCACTCAAATTTAAAACCCCCTCCCCACTCCAAAAGTCAGAGGGAACCTGCTAAAATATCCTGTTTAGAACACACTCTCCATATTAACTGGCAAGGGAGCTCGGGCAGATGCCTGGTCACTGAGTACTTAGCACTAATAGCTTCGGGGTCGAGAACAAGTGCACATCCGCATGTGTGGTTGTGAGTGCGTCCTACCGCCGCACGGACTGTGTGACGGCTGATTTACAGATGGGGGATTCACATCAAGAGGTCATCGGCCTCTCTCCGTGTTAAACGTCCTTCCCGAGCACGACCCAAATGGAAGACGGTTGTCACTTTCCGCCCTGCTTCCCATTAGATGTGTGTCTGTGCAGTTACGAAAGTGTTTTGGTTTAGGGATGACTCATATTGTGGCTTAGTCCGACTTCAGGGGAAGTTGAGCACTCATCCAGAGTATGGAAAGAACTGGTGACTTAGAGAAGAAGTAGGAACGAGGATTAACTAACTTTGCTTAATGCTCTTGTGTTTTCACAACTCCTGCATTTTATTGTAACTTTTCCCAGATTATTCTGTTCAGATTGACTGCTTACATACATCATCATGCAATCTTTGGAACTAGAGGTGATATCAAGACAATTGCAGGGCTAGAGCAAGTGAGGGCCTTGTCTTTGCTCATTCAAGATATATTTTATTATATTCCTTTGCAAGATTTACGTTTTTTTTTTTTAAGGCCTCTAATTTTACTGGTTTGGTTCACTCTCATGGCTCTCATCAAGCTTGTTTCCAGTCACAGCAGGCAGCTGTGGAGCATCTAAAGAGCTAGATATTTCCCTCAGGATATGGTGGAGAGCAAAACCGAGCTAAAAAAGCAATTCACTTGTGGCCAGAAACAGGAAGTAAATGCTACTATGTGTCTGCTGGATGTGTAAACAGGCAACTGCTTGTAACATTTATGAGAAGATTATAGTCAATGTTGTATTGACAGCTTGTTCCAATGCCCCCTAGCGGTAAAAATAAATTATACCTGTAAACGATATATGGCGCACCCCTATTCGATGCTGCTTTTTTCGGTCAGCTCACTTAAGAAGAGCCCCCAATAAGCTCTGGTCACTCCGATGCTGTCGCTCACACCCTCTGTGTTGCTGCCAATGAGCTTGAAATGCGAGGGAGCTATTTCTGTCTGTGATCGGGGATAGAGGGAGGAGGGGGAAGTGACGCTGTCAGTACGCAGGAGCCTGGGAGCTATAAGCTGCTACAAATGCTAATACCCACGTCATGCTGCAACAACAGTGTGTCACACTTGGTTGAAGGCTTCAGAAGGTTACAATTGAAGATTGCTTTTGACCCCAACCAGTCATTATCAGCTTTTGTAGTATTTTTTTCATACAACACGGATGCAGCAAAGGCTCAAATAATGGCGGCGGAGAAGTGCTGCAGTGGCAGCAATCGCAGTATTGCATCTTACTGCATTACTCCGGCCTCGATTTATCTTCTCACTCTCATGCAGGGCTTATATCCAGTGAGTGACTTCTTCAAATTGAGATGATTTGTGATGCTTGATTTCCATCCTCCTCCTCCACTCTATCACTGACTGCTCTCCAATTGCTCCAAAGCCTCGGGGCCTGTTTGTTTTCAGGAAAGCAGATGTTTGTGTCTCCCTCCATCCGTCCTACCAAGCCGCTTAATCCCTCTTCTTCTGCTGTCAGCAGCTGGTCTGTTTACATTTTGTGGCAGAGTTACAGCCCCCTGCGGATTTCTCTCTCTCTCGTTTTGGCTTCATCTATGCTTTCCCTGAAACCTCCAATTTGTAGATTTAGTTCTCTGGTTTGCTCCCATGCTTCTCTGACGGCGAGTGGCTGATTTATTTCTCAATCATTCTGGTCACTGTGACCAAACATGTCTGTGTCCTTGTCGCCTATGTGAAATAATTCTGCAGATACATGTAAGAGTGTGAAAAAGATAAGCCTGGATTTAAATGCCGCTATTAAATCCAGAGAGATGCACCTTGTGCCTGTGCTCACTCCGTTTATGGAGTCATCGTGGATTGGATTTCAGCAAAGTTAACGCAACATCCAGTTGATGAAGTAATGGAGAGAATAGGATAGCAATGTGGTACGTGGATGAAGTCCAGTATCGGGTAGCACCAGACAGGTAGCAATGCATTACTTTCACTCAGCAGTGTATTTTTAGACCATTGAGACCATCTGGGTTCATATCTCAAAAGTTCTCGAGAGCATTTTCTGGGAGCTGCTTTGCTTTGAACTCTGACACATTGTATCTGGATTTCATGATGTGGAAAGCACTTAAAGGGATCATTTGACGCGGATTCACTTCATTGCCGAGAGTTAGCTGAGAGGATCGATACCACTCTCGTGTCTGTACAGTAAATAAGCTACCGTTAGCAGCAAATTAGCTTAGCACAAAGACTGGAAACGACGGATGACGTGTTAATTGGTGAGCTTTAGAGGAACTGCGAGCCAGATGTTCTGACCTGTGGAGATAGCCAGGCTTGTTGTCTTCCCCCTGTTGTCTTGATGCTACGCTAAGCTAACTGGCTTCATATTGAACATACAAAATATCTCTTCTAACCCCTGGCAAGAGAGTGAATAAGTGTTATTCCCAAAATGTCAAACTACTTCATTAAAGGTACGGTGTGTAGTATTTAGGGGTATCTATTGCTAGAAGTTTTCCTACACCTTTGGCCGACAGGAAAATTTCAGTTGGTTGCAATCTGCAACCTCACCGCTAGATGCCGCCAAATTCTACACACTGCACCTTCGAGGGAATCATTTGACGCTTATTCACTTCATTGAAGAGAGTTAGCTAAGGGCATCGATACCACTATCATGTCTGTATGGTTATTATGAAGCTACCATACAGCAGCTAGTTAGCTTAGCACAAAGACTGGAAACAGCGGAGCAGCTAGCTAGCTATAAGGATGTGGTTTAGTGAGCTTTAGAAGCCAAATGTTGTTTCCTTTTGACAGAGTCAGGCTAGTTGTTTCCACCTGTTCTCAGTCCTAATGCTATGCTAAGCTAACTGGCTTCATATTGAACATACAGAATGAAAGTGTCTCTTCTAACTCTTGGCAAAAAGTGTATTTCCTAAAATGTCAAACTATTCCATTAACACCCAAAGCCTAGCCTAATGCTGTTTTTAGGTAGCAATTTGCTGGTTAAGTCATCACAGTTAGGGAGTTAAGTGTCTTTGCTTTTACGGAAATTTGACAAATAGTCATCAGATTGCTGTTGATGTAACCGTCCCTCTCCTCATGAGTCAAACTGCTGGCCCCCGTGACAGGAAAGACTCCGTCCTGCATGAGGTCACTGGTTTGTCTGCGTGACCCGCGAGGCACTCTGCCTATCGTTTGTCTGTAAAACAGCGCTCTGAGGCTGGAAAATGCTGCGGGTGTGCGTATTCCCTTCCTCCCTGGACAGTGCTGGGAGCTCAGAAGCAAAGCCCTATAAATCTCAGGCACGAGCCACTGCAGATCTGCGCTTTCCTCCCGTGGTGTAAGCCTCTGCACTGCGCAAGGCTGATGGAAAAAGACAGATCCTCAGCACCATTCAGACTAAATATGAGAGAATTAAAGCGACATTAGAGCCTAGTGGAATCTGGGCCATGTTCGTTCTACTATGTGCACGCCGACCGCGCTGAGTATCCGTGTTCTTCAGGCTTTCGATCGTGATGGGACAAAAGCAGAAAATGATAGGCGACATTATGTTGTCCAAAATTGATCTGCAATGCAGTGTATTTTCATGCCAGAGGCCAACACAGAGGCCTACTTCTAGGATTGTAAAAGTATATTTTGAATCACAATAACACTGATTTCTATTAAAGACATGAAGTTTGCCTTAAAGTATGGCATCTCGTAAATGTAATTTTGCCCTGACAGGTCTGAGGGACGTCACAGAAGTAAACAAGGGGCCTTTACGGTTCCTTCACTGTGAAATCGATTGCAGCTCATGGAAGAGGCTTGTGTCCTGCTCCCCATGCCCTCCCGTGTATTTTAAAACTCCCTGCCTGTACAGTATGGTACTCATTCACGCTCCTTCTCTGCCTACCTTTTCTCACTTTCCTCTCCTCTCTTTCCATTTGTCTCACTCCTCTCCCCCTCCTTCCTTTCCCCTCTCTCTCTCTCTCTCTCTCTCTCTCTCTCTCTCTCTCTCTCTCTCTCTCCTGCCCTGGGTCACGGAACACGTTGCTCCCTCCTTCAGACTGTATGAGCTGCTGGCTAGCTCTGCCTTTTCATGCTGTTTTTTGTGTGTGCGTTTGTGTGCAAGACTGCAGTTGTTTTTTTCTCTGAGGGGGGATGTCAGTGCTAAACCACATGATTTCTCCTAATGACAAACCCTCTTTATGCAACCCAGCAACACAGAGACAGGGGTCTTATGTCGGGGTGATGACGCGGCACGTGGAGAACGATGACAATGCATAAAATCCTCTTTTTGTCCAGAGGGGAGTTGGCTCTGCGTTGACCAATTACAAGAAGACAGAGATTAAGCGGGTCACTTAAAGCAGCTGATTGCAATTCGTTTGGTGTTGTGAATATTTTATGTTGTGCTGGCAATGGTACAGCTCGTTATTACAGAAAACATCACAGCCCCGCCGAGGTTTATTAGCCGAGGTTACTTGACTCTACAAGGCTGATGATAACAACCGCTAAAAACTTTTAATTAGTAAGAGCCTCTGTGGTTACTTTACATAACACTAGCAGCAAACAATCATGTTAGCATGGAGCAAAATGATGATATTAATCCAAAAGGGACACGCGGATAATTATGGTATCTGTGTTGCCATCAGTCCTCTCGAGGACACACAGACCTGCTTCTCCGTTCTTACTGCCTTTTCTTTTCTTACTATCATTGTTGCCATTATTCTAGTACTTTTTTTATTCTGTTGTTGGCACATTCATTTACCTTGGGGACCTTGCGAAGTACCTAGCAGCCTATTAAATGAGGTAATTACTGTGATCATTTTTTATTTACAGCGTGAAATAAAAAACTTTTTTTTTTTTTTCTGATTTATGTTGGCACTACTTACTAAAATCTATATCCATTACAGAGCAGTGAATATGTGGCTCAGGCAGAGCACATTCTTGGAAACACGGATGTTCATTTTAATATTATTGTTTCAAATTTTTGCTTTTCTCTGCAACCAGAGTTCCATTAGCTATAAAAGGGTTTTTGATGTATTCCTTTTAGAGCTGAAAGCAACAATGATTGTTTTTTTACTGTCTACTAATTATTATTGATTCATAGATTAGTTGTCAGATAATAGCGAAAAATGCCAATTATAATTTCCCAAAGGGACATCCCCCAGTTGCTCATGTATATGACAAAGAAAAGCAACAAATTGCCACATTTTGAGAGGCTGGAACCAGTTTATGAGCAAATAAGCAAAGCAATCAAACAATTGTCAGAGTAGTAGAGTATATTTTATCCACTAATCAACTGACTCAAAGCTCTAGTTCAATGAAGTTTCCTGTTGCACATTTGTCCACTGATCTGTGCACATTCCATTACACGCTTCCATTACACCTCAAAGTCATCAGGTTGTAACACTGCGGCTCGACATGCCGCACGGTGACGCAAATGTCAGAAAGACACGCGTCACGTCATTGTGAGGGACGCGTCGCATGCATCGGGACACGCGTCACGCACGCCTGCTTTTTTCCACATTGAAACATGACTGTTGCACATTCTTCTTTTTAGTCGAGGGAGAGGGGGAGAGAGAGAGAGGGGGAGAGAGAGGAAGTTGGCGACAGTGTACTCCAGTAGAGGTCTCTGGGCCTGCATGCGTGATTGCGTCCACTTGTGCATATCTACCAGTCCCACTTTGCTCCGCTCGGAACGGCAGCTCATATTCCCCTGACTCATGGGGGCCACAGGTGGTGCTGGGCTTCTGCTAACATTAGCAATGCACTCATAATTCACAACCTATCGAAAAGATGCCTGCGTGCACCAATATCTGCTGCTTTTCGACGGCGTTGCAAATATATTCACCTCTGTCTCTTTAGGCCAAAGTGTTTGGTTTTTATTATATTAGGTTGTCAAAAAGTGGCTCTTTTTTCCTTTCTCGGTATAAAGCGGATCCCCTTTGCTCGCCCGACCCCTGTAGCATTGTGTGATGGATGTACCCCCTTTTGTTTTTATCCCTCCCGAAACAGCTTAATAGCTCTGACCTTGGATAAGGTCCCTGCTCTCAATGCTAAATAATTCAACAGTACGGAGTGACTGTCTGAATTGCTCTCGGCCTCGCAAAGACTTCACCAAAACTCTCTCTATGTGAGCCCCACTCTCGGGGGCAGATATGTGAGGCTGGGTCGATTTTGCACGGTTCTTTCAGAAGTGGAGCACTCTTAGCCATTTCATCTGAGGCAGAGCCGACAGCGAGGTGCCGGCTAGAGAGAGTCTTACGGAGGCGGGCGAGGCAAATGAGGACGGAGAGGAGCGGGCCACAAGGTCGTCCGCCTGCGTGGAGACGAAAATGTCTGAAACTGTGAATAATTACATGGAGAGAAACATGTATGGGGGCTCGGTCATGGGATTGTGACTGAAAAGAATACTCAAATGTTTTTGGATTGTTGCCCAGAGGACAAAGTTTAAAGCATCATGGTCACAGGGTATGTTATATATACATATATATTAATATATACTTCATATATTTTTTCTCTAAAATCACCCTTTGTTCTTCTCTCCAGGCTACGCCTTCCTGCTCTTCCAGGAAGAGACTTCTGTCCAGGCCTTGATCGACGCCTGCATCGAGGAGGACGGCAAGCTCTACCTGTGTGTGTCCAGTCCCACCATCAAAGACAAACCGGTAGGTGTCAGTGTGGTAGAGGTAGATGTATGTCTTTGCATGTCGCCCCCCCCCCCCCGGTCCTAAACTACAGTTCTCTTCAGGACACAATTTTTTAAGTAACTAGAGGCTGAGGTTGTACTTGCGCACACTGGTGCTATGAGCTAAATGCTAACGTCAGACCGCTAACCTGCTTGCACTGACGGTGCTAGCATTTTCATGTTCAGCGAGTATAATGTTTATCGTGTTATTTTAGCATGTTAGCGTGCTAATATTTGTTACTTAGTGCCAAACAAAAAGCACAGTCGAGGCTAATGGGACATGTCATTGGACAAATTGAAATTTTGACAAGTTAGGGGATCATTAGGATTCATCCTCTGGGAACCCTGAATGTTTGTGCAGTGGCAAAAATAAACACATGTTGCCTTCTAATATACCACATTTTTCCTCCTTTGTCATGCAGGTCCAGATCCGTCCCTGGAACCTTAGCGACAGTGACTTTGTCATGGACGGCTCCCAGCCTCTGGACCCCCGCAAGACCATCTTTGTAGGGGGGGTGCCGCGGCCCCTGCGCGCAGGTAACATACTTATAGGAATGGGATATCTTTTTTTTTTTTTTTTGCCTCTGAATTGGCTTCATAACGTCGGCTGGCACGGGGCACGGAGGCCGGAGGCTATAATGAAAGTTCTCCCTGTGAGATCCTCTACTCGGGTTTCCAGGAAGCGGGCCAAGTGGTCTTCGTGTTAAGAATTCATGGTGTAATGGAAGGCTCAGGCTTTCTGTTCTTGGGATAAACATCGCTGGCTGGTCTGCAATGTGACCCCTACTAATTATACCAGCAGTTTAAGATCGCTGCCCTGATGAATAGTGCAGTAGGGTGTTTTTTTTTCTTGTTTTTTTGCATCACTTAATAACAGCGTCAATCACAAAAGTTAAACCTCTCGCTTAGTTTTGAAGGCTTTCAGGTTTGAGGGGTTAAAAAAGGGTCTTTAACTCGCACACAAACTCCTGGCTGCAGCACTAATCGCACCTCTCCCTCATCTTTTTCCTTCCCCTCCAGTGGAGCTGGCTATGATCATGGACCGGCTGTACGGGGGCGTTTGCTACGCCGGCATCGACACCGACCCCGAGCTCAAGTACCCGAAGGGTGCCGGCCGCGTGGCCTTCTCCAATCAGCAGAGCTACATCGCCGCCATCAGCGCTCGCTTCGTTCAGCTGCAGCACAACGACATCGACAAAAGGGTGAGCGAGTTCACGCGCACTCCCCTCACAGCATCCGTCCTCTGAGGGGAAAGCAGCGTCTCCACCACAGCTTAGGGTTGCTGCTTTGTGTTTTTTCTTCGCAGTCATTCCTTTAGCGCACGCTGCAGAGCTGCTCTCCCGTGTAGCCAGAGCTTTCATTACTGCCGGCTTTTCACAGTGGTGTATAGTAACGAAGTAGAAATACTTCGTTACTGTACTTAAGTCGTTTTTTTGGATATCTGTACTTTACTACTTATATTTCTGTTGACTTTTACTTTTCCTTTACTACATTTTGCAAAGAAAACTGATACTTTGACTCCGATACATTTCCTTTGAAACCTTCGTTACTCGCTACAAAATCAAATCTATCTTTAGAAACAAAATGAATCATGAGACCAGCGTCGGGGACTGTGGTGGAACAGAGACTGCAACAAGCAGGTTTGGTGAATCAGTGGTCCTAGCGTGCAAGTTAAATCATTGGTTAATCACGTTAATGCGCAAAACAAGTGCTCTCAAAGCCGCGGTGTTTAGATTCCCAGTGATGCCCAGGATGCTATATGCTATAGCTAGCGAGCGACTACACGAGCAGAATTCCACTCTACGATGACTGATTTCATGACGGAAGCAGAAATGGAAGCACCTGCTACTCCCGAAACAAACTACGGTGGTGACGAAGACCAACACCCGGGGATCGCTAGCGAGTTAGTGAGCTGAGGAAGTGTTGACAGTTGTGCAGCACAAGTTGGCTAACGTTAGCTATAGCTAGCCACCACACCATAGGATTGACAGGAGCCGCGAGAGCGCAGCATTAGTGTTAGCATTAGTGTTAGCATTAGTGTTAGCATTAGGGAAATCCTTCCCAGCTGTGCGCAAGCTGAACACACCTCTACCTGCCTCAGCGGCCTGTGAAAGGCTGGTTAGCGTCGCAGGACTAGTCTTCAGCCCAAGAAGAGCGAGACTGAATTCTCGCAATTTTGAAAACCAACTTCTTTTGAAGATGAACAGGACATTTTTCAGTTTCAAGTAATGACTGTGTTGTTACTTTCGGTGCTGCTTTAGTATTGATCATGTTTTGATATTTGAGTCATTTTGTGGATGATCAGATGGAGTTATGATGGTAGCAGTCGCCCAATTGCAGATTCAGCTTGAGCAAAACCTTTGCCTGTTGTGATCAAATCAGACCCATAGGAGTTTACAAGGCAGGTGTCCTTTCTCTAAACACTGAGCTGATGCATCAAGTGGATATTTTTTGTTGAACACAATATTATGCATTTGCCCTCTACATCCTCTAGTCAGAATGAGCATACTTATAAACGCACTGTTACAACTCCTTCATAGTGTCATATTGCTTTTCGGAGAATTATGATAAGTTCATAGTAGATGCAAAAGTATACTTATGTACAATATCTTATGTTGAACATTGTTGCTTCTGGATGGATCACAGCCAACCCAATTATTAACACAGCTCCATGTCCTTGGTCATGGTGGCCACAGCACTTAAAAGAATAAACTTCATAATTCTCAAAATTCTGACCCTTTGCTTTTTTATTAACAGCATTTACTTGTACTTTTACTTTCTATACTTAAGTACATTTAACATCAGAAAAGTACTTTTGATACTTAAGTACAATAAATATCAGATACTTTAAGACTTTTACTCAAGTAGTATTCTAATAGGTGACTTTTACTGGAGTCATTTTCCAGTAAGGTATCTTTACTTTTACTCAAGTATGGCTTTTGGGTACTTTATACACCACTGGCTTTTCAGACTCAGCACAGCCCGCAATAACGAAAGGCCAGGCCCCGGCCGCGCAATAACTACGGCCTTTGGCTGCCGGAGTCCCGACAGATGTTTTCAAGTTGCAGACACATTGGGTTGCTTTAATTATAGTAGCTCCCTATACATGTATATCCACTCGGTGCTGTGCTGCAGACGGGTTATTTTAGGCACGCCGGCCAATTTGCAGCGGCACAGATCGTGACCAAGAGAGACTGGTCGTCAGCCAGGAAGCTGAGCCTCTGTCAGGTGGGGCAGTCCACCCCACCTCGGCTATCAACGTCAATCTCCAGTGTGAGTTTAGGGTGTCTGTATTATGACTGGGAGTACAAATGTTGCACATGACAAGCTAAAGAACATTTATGAAGGCAACGAAGCGTTTGGTAAGCGACATGCTTTTAAAGAATCTATATCCGTTGCAGAAGGGGAGCACATCCTCGAGAATAGTTGTGGCATGGAACACGTTTTTGCCATTTTTCTGTCAAATTTTCTCTTTTCTGGCCATCGGCGTCCACATTTCCATTAGCTGTAAGTGGATGACGGGACACAGAAGCTCGTTAACCTTGGTCAGCTTCATGTCCGCTGGGTTGATTTTGGCTTTTAACGACATTGTCGGCCTCGCCCGTTTCTGCATGGCGGTATTCGGCACGCGGAGAGACTTGCACTGTAGTCGACGCAGAGCTGAGCTCAGAGGGTCGTCTACTGTTGAAGGATTTAATAACCTTTCATTTTGTGGCCGTGCTATAACGAGGTTTAGCGTCCACCCCTTGGCCGCTCGTGCTCCGAGGCGTCTCCATGGCGACTGAGCTCTCATTTCTCATCTCCCCCTCGGCTTAGCGGTCAAACTCGTTTCACCAGTGGACGGAAGGATACCTGCCTGGTTCATTTTAGAAGATTGCAAAAGAAGATTGCCTCGCATGGGGGATTTTTTGTGGACACTGGCTTGAAAATAATGTACTATGCGTGCTGCTAAGTCTGTCTGTGGATGAGACTAAACTAAACGCCTCCTCTCGATTCCCCCTTTTCTTCCCAGGTGGAGGTGAAGCCGTACGTTCTGGACGACCAGATGTGCGATGAGTGCCAGGGGGCGCGCTGCGGGGGGAAGTTCGCCCCCTTCTTCTGTGCCAACGTCACCTGCCTGCAGTACTACTGCGAGTACTGCTGGGCCAGCATCCACTCGCGGGCCGGCCGAGAGTTTCACAAGCCACTGGTGAAGGAGGGCGGTGACCGCCCGCGACACGTGTCCTTCCGCTGGAGCTGAGGGGGGAGTCCTCCCCGCCCCAGCGAAACCTGCACCCTGACCCATAGAACCCCCCCCTCCCCTCCCTTCCTACCTACCCTACAGGCCGGGACAGTGCTGGACCCCCCCCCCCCTCCCATCCACAGCCCCATCTACTCCAGCCTGCTCCCCCGCAAACACCTCATGAAAAAAATAGGAAAAAGGATACCGTCAAACACGCGGGACTCTCTTCATACCACATGGCTCTGAACTTATCTTCTACCGCTCAAGCATTGTGTGTGTGGGGGGGGGGGGGAGAATGCGAAAAGTCTATCAGCTTAGAATTTGCACTTTGGCACAAAATCTCACACACACTCGGGATGGTATGTTCGACACCCGGCTACTTTCAGTTCCCCCGTTCTGTTGACTGGGTGGTGTGGTACGTCCTGTTGGACCCCCTCCTTCCTGAGACAGAGGTGGGACCATACCAATATTTAAAAAAGTATATATATTTTTTTGTTTTGTACCTATCTATACAAACATAGATAATTAGAATTTTATGTAAAAGGAGCATGCACTTATTTTCAAAAGCTGTAGTTATATTGCCCCAACTAGAAAAACAAATTTACCAAAGGCAAATGAAATGAATGCTTACGGAAAAGCTAAACAGGTGGCGCGAGATGTAGCAGGACTCACCAGCTACCCAGTAGTGTGGGCCCGTATCGCCCGGAGTGACAATACCACGGCTGTATTCGCTCTCAATTCTGAATATTAATACCTCATACGCGCAATCAGATTAGTTTGCTTTTGGTTTCTAGGTCTTTTATTTTTATAATAACATTATTTTCTAGTGTTATGTAAACGTAATGCTGCAATAGCTTTGCTGCTAAACCCGTGGTAGGAACAGATACCACAAGTACTTTATTCAGGCTAGGGTGTAAAATAACAGATAGCAGATCAAGAGGAGCACCTGGTGTTGTAGAATGACGAGCCCTCGCGGGGCGGGAGGGAGTTGGGCGTTCCCCTCCCGGGACAACGATGGCTACCTTTGTGGAGGTCGGGGTGGGTTCAACCCCCCCCCCCCCCCCAACTGCATGTTTATTTCAATCAGGTTGCTGCATGCAATAGACTTTTCAGTATCACGTCTACTATTGGATTCTGCCCATGTTTGCACAACACGCTGCGGACGTAGAGTACGTTCGAAACTCGCACGAAACTGGACGGCAACAGGGAGGGCTGGAATCATGGCGGCTCCAATACAGAGCGGGGGGAAAAAACAAACAACCTTAATAATATCACGAATCAAATTAAATGTAGGATTACCATTTACAACTGTCTATGATAGGTGAAGTACTTTTTTTTGCAGTGATTGTTGATATAATTGTGCAATTTTTTATACCGTACGTAGTTAGGTCTGAGTATGCCTAGAACTGTGATTCGCTTTAACTGTCGTCAGTGTCCGACATAGAAGTCCTGTGAAACTTCATAACTAGTGTATGCACACGTATATATGTTCTCTTGTAGACACACTTGCACCAGTATACACGGAGGCCTCTCGACGCACACATGAACACACACACACACACACACACAGACACACACACACACACATGGACGGCTGTCTTTCTTACGCACACAAACAAGCCTACAGACGCGGCGTCTGATCGGAAGAGAAGGCGCGACAATGTGAGCTTAAACTGAGAACTGAGGTCTTTAATTTTTTTTCCACCGTTGACAAAAAAAAAACGAGAAAAAAACCCCGCACGTTTTAGTCTCCGAACGCAACCAAAGAGCTCACGTGTTCGACCTTGAAAACAAAACCGCCGGACACGCAGAGCGACACAGCCTCCTGCAGAGGAGCCGGGAGGTGCGTTTGATTTACGATGAGGAAACTAGGGCAGGTGGGGAGGGGAGTCGGGGCTGGTGGGATGTAAAAATGAAACGTCGAAGCTACTGGAGGTCGATAAACTGAGCTCTGCACGTGCTCTCACTACATGGCTGGGATGGGGGAAAGGGGGGGGGGTGACGTTGCCACATGTGCAAGCTGGGGTTACCATATTTATCCAGATTTTATTTTGTTCTCCTGCAAAGCTTGAAGTAATGGACCTGCTAAATCAAAAGAAATGGTGGACATCTATATCTTTTAGTTTTTATCAAAAAAGTAACTTAGAAAGGCATTGGCTGCTGAAGACAGGGCGGCAAGGGGGTTCGGTTGGGGGTGGGGCCAATTTACACTGGTTTTAGAAGTTTTGTGGACAATCCGAAAGGGATCCTACATCAAGTTTATGTGTGTTGTTGTCCCCCCCCCTTTTTTTGTCCTTAAAGTGTGATTGTCCCGTGCTGGCACCCCCGCAGTCCCTTTCTCGTTTTAGTTGTTTTGCTTTAGGATACTAACTAATTGAAACTTAAGCTGAAGATACTTTTTTTTTTTTTTTTACTGTCAAGAAAAAAAGAAGCTAAACATGAGTAATAATAAGTATCCCTATGAAAGTGAATTCTGGGTGATTTTTGTGACGTTTCTTTCCCTCACCCAGACAGCTTTTCTATGTCCGTTCCTTCTCTACGATAGATATTTGTTATGCACTACTCTTTGTATCGGAACAGTTTGACGGTCAGCAGTTCTTTTTGTTAAAAGACAACAAAAAAAGAGACGACAAAGCGTGCTTTCTGACCGACAAGATCTTTTGCAATACCTCAATTTTAAAATACATATATATATATATGTATATGTGTGTGTGTATATATATATATATATATATATATATATATATACACATA